TATATATATATATATATATATATATATATATATATATATATATAAGAGAGAGAGTGAGAGAGAGAAGGGAAATAAAGCAAGGGAATCAGCGAAAGGATCTCCGAATCTCGAGGCACTCCATCATACCCACATGAATCACATGCACCCAACTCTCGCCTTAAAGCTTTGGTGCTTTTATATAGCCAACTCTGAGCAAAACGTAGCCAAACAACGAAAACGAATACGAAAACAGAGTGCATCAGGAGGTGGCCGCCTACTGGTCTTGTCTTCCGGTCTAACCTTTGTGTCACGCAAATGCTGCTCTCCGGTGTCCTCCCCTCAAACACCACCCTCCTCCCCACCTCTTCCCACATTCGCGTTGCCCCTCTCCGGTACCGCCACGTCTCTGCCGGCGGTGCCATTACCATCCCCGTTCTCCGCCGTTCGGCCATGACCATCCAAGCCCGTGAGGCCGCCCCTGTTCTTGATATCGAGCCGCAGCCACTTAAGCTCCTCGACCGCCGCACCAAGCTCAAGATCGCCGTCATCGGCTTCGGCAACTTCGGCCAGTTCCTTGCCCGCACCTTCGCCGCCCAAGGCCATGAAATACTCGCCTACTCGCGCACCGACTACTCCGACACCGCCCGCTCCCTCGGTGCGGCATTTTTCGACAACCAGCACGACCTCTGCGAGCAGCACCCGGACGTCGTCCTCCTCTCCACCTCCATCCTCTCCGCCGAGGCCGTTCTCCGGTCCCTACCCATTCAGCGCCTCCGCCGTAGCACGCTCTTCGTTGACGTCCTCTCCGTCAAGGAGTTCCCCAGGAACCTCTTCCTCCAGCTGCTGCCCCCGGACTTCGACATCCTGTGCACGCATCCCATGTTCGGCCCCGAGAGCGGCAAGCACGGGTGGGCCGGCCTCCCTTTCGTCTACGACAAAGTCCGGATCGGCGATTCCGACGACCGCATCGAGCGGTGCCGCGCAGTCCTCGAGATCTTCGAGCGAGAAGGCTGCCGCATGGTCGAGATGTCGTGTGCGGAGCACGACGAGACGGCGGCAGAGATCCAGTTCTTGACGCACACCATCGGCAGGGTGCTCGCGAAGCTGGACCTCAAGTCCACGCCCATCAACACCAAAGGTTACGAGACCCTACTAAATCTGGTGCAGAACACCTGCAGCGACAGCTACGAGCTCTACAATGGGCTGTTCATATACAACAAGAACTCCACCGAGCTGATCGAGAAGCTGGACGACGCCTTGGACACAATGAAGAAGGAGCTATTCCAACGCTTGCACGGCATCTTTAGGAAACAGCTGTTTGAGAGCTCGGGTAGAAGGTCCATCGATGCGGGCAAATGAAGCGTAAAGCTTAACCAGAGTCGATTTGGTCGTAGATCTACCGGAGTTGCAGAGGATAAATTGCTTTTCTGTAGATAATAAATTGCTTCTTTGGTATCTCGCAATAATCCACTCGAAGGAAACACAAGAGATGTCAAGTTCTTCATCAACCAAATAATAGTTCTTCATCAAACAAAACCAAAACTTCTCACACTATTAACCTACAGAGTTCGCGATGTACACGTTAGCTAATAATTTATTGAGCTACATTGGCATTCCGCCCTCGATGCCAGTAATGGTCTCCATCTCCTTGCCATGCTGCCAGCTATGTCGACACAGTGCCTCACCTCGTGACTCCATAATACCCCAAACGTGGAAAACGTTGGATGGAAATATGTGCAAGTAGGTGGAAATAATAGATAAAAAGTTACAATTTTCTCTCTGGCTCGCTTCAGATGAAGGCTCAAAATCTAAATTACCAACACGGCTAAGTTACAATGCTCAGATAATGATACCTTTAGAATCAACATGACGCTAAACAATTTAAATTAAAGAGCAGATAGATAGATCATCAAACAACTTGTACATGGATTCAGTTCTCTGACAATAATTTATTCAGAATCAACAAGATCTAGTAAATGTATTATCACCTACAGATGAAAGTTACGAGATGGAAACAGTGATTCTAAACTAAAGGGAAAGATCAGCCAAATCAAAAGTTCTAGACACAGCCTTGTTCCAAGACTCGGACCTCTTCTTTCTGTGAGCCTCATCTAATTTTGGATGGAAGACTGTGGTCTTTTCTTTGTGCCCCGCTGAGTATATCTGTTCTTCGGTCCAGACACCAATAGCTAATCCAGCTGCGTATGCTGCTCCAAGTGCAGTAGTTTCGACATCTGCGGGTCTAACAACTGGGCTCCCCAATAGATCAGCCTACGACAGATATTACAGATAGATAGTAAGGGTTACTCTGGAATTCTAAAGATCTATATGGCTGTAAAAAAAAGTATCAGCATTGTGAACGACAAAAACTAAATGACGAAACTACCAAATTCGAATCTGTTATATTCGAGACAAGTTTAGTGCATAATCTGAGAGCATCAGAGTAATACTTGTTCTTGGTTTTACGAGAAATTAATCTACTAAGCAACAAAATCGAACAACAATCAATAATATTAGAAACGAAAAACGACCGAATTACAAGTAAGTCGAATCTGTCTTCCAGATCAACTTTCAAGAATTTTTTTTTCCCCAAAAATGATAATTCAAGCATCAGGTAATGTGTCATATAGTTCATGAAGAAACTTCATAATCATTAAGAAGCGAAACAACAAGTTTACATAGAGTCACACTGATTCCAAGTTAATGCACCAAAGTAATCTTATATTATTAGATCTGAATAGGATCACCAGCAGCAAAATAATTAGAAGCACAAAAAGCCAAAGTGATCATGACAATTGCAATTCAAAACAGAAAACAAAGAGCCAAAAAGTGGGCAGGAAAAGAAACGAAAACTATCGTAGGTCTTAGTCTCGGTAACAACAGAATTTGCTCATTAGATCATCTATCATTGACAATTATTAATGCTAAAGAGAATGCAAGAATCAGATAACTTTGTACTAATGCAAAAAAATTCCTTGTAAACATTTTCTTCGTAACCACAAGTATTTGAGCTTTTTAGTTTACAAGATAAATTGAAACCCCAAATATATATTTGTGCGATAAAACACCATCAGAAGATTCAATAAAAAGCATATTAACTAATTACTTCAGTTGAAATGCAAAAGAATCAGAATGTTATTGTTTTAGCCTTTTCCTATTGTCATACTTAATTCAAGTCAATTCTCACAGTAAATTTACAGCAAATCCATAGGAGCAGCAGTCCACATACAGATATAACAATTTACTTGGATAAACTTAGATAACAGAGAAGCTGAAAGAACTCCGAGATGAATCAAAATCGAAGCTTTATGCTATACGTACCTGTATTTGCATAAGAAGATTATTGACGGTGGCGCCTCCGTCGACCCGAAGCAGGAATTCCCTTACATTGGTCTTCGCTTCCCCTCGCTCCCCAGCATCCTTGTGCATGGAAGCCAGCACATCGTTGACCTGAAAGCAGATGCTCTCGAGCACCGCCCGCGCTATGTGCCCTTTGTTGGTGAACCTGGTGATTCCGATGCAAACCCCTCGAGCGTCGTCCCGCCACCACGGCGCGAACAACCCGTTGAACGCCGGCACGAAGTACACGCCGCCAGAATTCTCCACCAGCTCTGCCAGATCCTCGATCTCCGAGGCGGTGTGGATGATCCCCATCCCGTCCCTCAGCCACTGGACCGCCGCGCCGGCGATGGCGATCGAGCCTTCCAGGGCGTAGCTGGTGGGCGCCTCGGGGCCAAGCTTGTAGGCGACGGTGGTGACGAGGCCGTGCGACGAGCGGACGATCTCGTCGCCGGTGTTGAGCAGGATGAACGCGCCGGTCCCGTAGGTGCTCTTGGCCTCGCCTTTCCGGCACAGCTGGCCCAGCATAGCGGCGTGCTGGTCGCCGAGGCAGCCGGCCAAGGGGATCCCGGCGAGGGGCCACCCGTTGGCGATCACGCCGATCTTCTCCGAATTGCTGATGATCTTGGGCAAGATTTCGATGGGGATTCCCAGGGCGTCCAGGGTGGGGCGGTCCCAGTCTAGGGTACGGAGATCCATCAGCATGGTCCGTGCGGCGTTGGAGCAGTCGGTGACGTGCAGGCCGTGCACCGGATTCTCCTCACGGTCCACCGCGCCGCAGCCGCCGGTGAGGTTCCAAATCATCCAGGTGTCGATGGTGCCGAACATGGCGTCGCCGGAGCGGACGGCGTCCCTGACCACGTCCACGTTCTCCAAAAGCCACATGATCTTGAGGGCGCTGAAATAGGTGCTGATGGGGAGGCCGCAGGTGGGGACGAAGTGGTCGCGCCCGCCGGGGAGGTCGCGGACGAGGCGGTGGCAGATGGTGCTGGTGCGGGCGTCCATCCACACGATGGCGTTGTAGAGGGGGAGGCCGGTGGATCGGCTCCAGATGACGGTGGTCTCCCGCTGATTGGTGAGGCCGATCGCACGGAGGCCAGCGTCGACGTTGTGGCCAGCGGCGGTCGCCTTGTCGAGGGCCTTCGCCATGCACACCCGCACGCTCTGCACGATCTCCGTCGGGTCGTGCTCCACCCATCTGCGATCATCATCCGAACTACCATTAACATCACCTGATGTGGGAGGAAGAAGAAATGCCAACAACAACAACAGTACCCGGCTTCGGGATAGAATTGGGTGAACTCTACTTGGTGGGAGGCGATTGGCTGAGCGTGGCGATCGTAGATGATGAATCGAGTGCTGGTCGTGCCCTGATCGATCGATCCTATGAAGAATTCTTCTCCTCCCGACATTTCGTATCGATCGATGCAAGATTCTCAACTCCTACCAGGCTCTGCCGCTGCTGCAGTCGTTCGAGTTTGGAATGGTTCCAAAGAGAGAGATGCGAATCAGAGAGAGGGGGAGAGCGATGGCGGTGGAGAAATCAACGGAGAGAGTGTAGCGTTGGGAGTTGGGCTTTTGGAGCACCACAAGAAGTCCGGAAAGGGATGAACGGGAAATCTGCCTCCGAGAGAGAGACTCTTTGACGGATAAGATCGACGATGTTTCCCATCTACTTTCCTACCAATTGCCACTTACCAATGACGCCATGTTTTGCTACCCTCTCCACTTAAACGATTGACTTGCACTAAATATTATAACTAAAAAAAGAAATAACATTGGATTTATCCAATAAAAAAATATAATTATCCAAATTTACGCAACAATTAATTTAATTACTAAATATAATTATTAATTTTAAGTGATTAGTAATCCTACTCAAAGAATTTTGATCAAACGAGTCGAGTTGAAGATGAATGGGCAATGTATTTATTATATTTCAAGTTGGACTTTACAATGCATGTCCCCCCAAGTTGGATTGGCCGTAGCTTTTTATTTCTCGGACGAAGGAAGAGACGACGAAAACAAGGAAGCAACCGCCGGACGTGACTCCCAACACCGGCACAGCTTTGGACAGCTGAGGGAATCTCCATAGTTTCTTTCGGACAACCCCATCGATGCATCCATTTCATTAGCTGGTGGATGTATCCGGAACATGAAAGGTCCAATCACACCTCGGTGAATCTTCATGTAGTCGATCCTTAGTGTTGCTACTTCGATCCGGAGTCAACACGATTGAATCATGACCTAAAGGCGTGCAATCGTTTGAGTGTCACTCGTGATGATCCTAGAGGGCAATCGCAATCGCAATGAAAGTGAGGTGGCTGAGATGGATTCGAGATGACCTTCTAGAGTTCGAAGTTGGGTCAAATTATACCTTGATCTTCGTAGGATCATACATAAATATCGATGTTGGGAGATTTCTCGATCCGATCCCTCCGACGATCAAATTAGTTTCTAAGAATACTAAGGATGGAAAGATTTAGTGTCCAAAAGTCCTTCTACAGATGCTTGAGGATTGACTTTTATACTTGAACAATCGAGTGGACCCTTCATAATTGTCATAATACCCTATTTTGATTATTTGTCCTTATGGACGATCAACTCATATAGCCCCCTAAGGGTTGTCAATCACAGAGGTCGAAGAAAGGAGAAGTCGATATGATCGATCACTCAGTAGCCATTACTCCTCGACGACTGAGAAGGTCGACTCGAGCGACTCCCTATAGTCAATCGTCCACATAGGCTAATGGAAAGGGGGCATATGGAAAGGGGGTCATTTGTCTTTTACCTTAATTTTATTGTGACAACCAATTGGCAAGTTTTGATTGATGCCAAGAGCCTTTAGTAAATAATAATTTGATTGACAGACAAAAATATTTGAGTACGTTTATGCTTTCTAGAATAGATTAAAGGTAAATTAAAAAGAAGAATTCAAATATTATCTTAATTCATGAGAAATATTCATTATATTTAATTTTACTCATAAATATGATTTTCTTGATGCATATAAGAAATATCAAACCATGTAAATATTTACCGATGATAAATCCCTCTTGATTTTTTTATATTTTAAAGTCTCTCAACAAATATGCATAGTCGTTTCAATATATCAATAAGAATGAAATATCAATTACTTAAAAATATCTAATATATATTAGTGGATGTGAGACTACACGAAAGTGGAGAAAATTCCAAAGGCATAGTGTGGCTTCCAAAGGGAGTCCATTGTCCACTCCGAGTACAGTGACCTTCAAGTCTTTCGCTTTTTGTCCCCATCTTATACTTGTCTCGAATTTAATTTTGTCTCGTCCGTATATTAATTGAAACATATGACTAATTCAACGTATTAGACTTCATTAAAATCAATTATATCAAAATTAAATCGATGATTTTAGATTTGAGGTTGATTTAATTAGGTCCAAATTGAGTTAAGTCTAGATTAAGTTAATTAAGCTTGTTGGTGAATTGATGTACTGTGGCTAATGAGTCAGCACGGTCTGATCCACGGGTCGATGTCGGGAGTCAATGGTCGGCCAAACGGGTCGCCGAGGTTAATCGACTGTAGGTTGGAATGCTAGCGTCAGGATGTTGGTTGGTGTCTCTCGGTCGGGACGGTTGCGCCTCGAGGGGTGGCCGCCGGTTGGGATGTCGAATCCGTATGGAGGAAGACGCCTCTCGATCGGGATGGTCGCGTCTTGGAGGGGGGGGGGGGAGGGTGGTCGCTCTCCTGCACAGAAGGCCCTCGTCGGGGGGGGGGAACGGTGTCGTAGAGTGTCTTGGTACGAATCTTGGCTCGGCGGTTGGGAGTGCTCCTCTTGCTGACCGAGTGGTGGCGTGGCGTGGCATTGGTCGTGACGTGCCTAGGGCCCAAAATATACCTTATCAAAGCTATTTCAATTAAAGTTTTGATTGATTAAAGACTATCGAGAGACTAATACATTTTATGATTTGATGAATTTAAAAATTTTATCTAAATATTTATATTTTAAAAATAATTTTTATTTATTTATTTATTTATTATTTTATGATATTAATGCGATTGTTATTATGTAATATATGTAACTATACTATTGGTCCAGAAATACAATATGTGAAAGGAGCTTCAGGTTCATCATAGTGCGGAGTCACTAATGGACATAGTCTAGTAGATTATACATCAAGTATATTCTCTTATAGTATTTTATCATATTATTTTTTGGATATATGCATGAATGAATGATTATGATTGGTTATGTATCATTGTCAAGGGCATGTATGGTGATTCTCTTTAGGAATTAGTAGGTCGTTAAATGTGACGGTTAGACAATTCCTCCATCCTTTGTTGAAAGGAATGTGTCTCAACTTGGGCGAGCGAGAGATACCACTCCATCCACTATTGAGAGTATAATATGAGTTTTCTCCATCCGTTGTTGAGATGAATCCATTACATGGAGTACGCATTGAGTGGAAAAAATTATAAAATCCCGATTAGTATCATATTCGAAGTGAGCAAGACTAAAATTTATTTATAAGAATATGATGAGTGTATTATTATCAACTTTAATTTAAATATTTTTGCCAAAGGAAGTTGATTGGCCAGTTAACCCATCACACCTATGACATGTTCTAAGTTCAAATTTATTTATAAATGTTATATAGTTAATTTTATATAATTTTAAAAATAAATTAAAAAAGTTAAGAGGAATATGTAAGAAAAGATTATCTACGGATGAGTGTACTACTATCAACTTCAAGATAGTTAACCCATTAAACCCTACTTGTAATATGTACGAAGTTTTAATTTTTATATAAACGTTCTATATGTAATTTTATATAATTAAATAATTAAATTAAAATTAAGCTTTGGAAAGCCTTTCGGTGAAAGATTCTCTGATTCCCTTTAAAAAAAAATACTATATAAAATGATCTATTTGCTTGTTTTGTTTGCTTGTTTACTATATAAAATGATCT